AGGAAACACACAGGGCAGCTATGGATGAGGCCGGGAAGGGAGGAGACTGTAACCTATGAGGAGATAATGACTGTCTGCTCGGTGTGAGGCATTAGCTCACCATATGCCAATTTCTGACACTAAGTGTTTTCATGCCTTTTCACCCCATGCTCCTGAGCTCAACCTGCTGTTGCTCCAGCATCCTTTCTGGTCACTTGTATTCTACAATATACCACGTAATTTCTTGCTATCATATGAAATGGCTCTTGATTCTTAAACTGTGTCTATTTCTATGCATGGAGAAGATATTTCTTGGCTCGGTCGTTGAAGATTAAGGCTCACAACCAAAAATACAAGAAAAGAACTTTTTCCTGTTACTTTCCATGGCCCAAGACTCAGGAAGAAAACACAACTCAGGTATCTTGTGCTGAGAATGTAAACACCACTACTATATAAATCCCTTACTGATGTTTGATTCACTATCCCCATTTTGGGGCGATCTAAGAAGTGATGCCATACAGCTGAGATTTTTAAGTATCCCTTCTTAAGCACTAAGTTAAGAAATACAAATTATCTAATAACTTAATAGGGTATAAATAGTAGCTAAATATATTGAACTGTAGTCCTACATGTATTGAAATGCTGCTTCCCACAAGATAAACAAGGCATGTGAGGACTGTAGGATCATCATGGGGACTCTTATTGGTCCTCCAGTTTACACCTAAATTCTTGTGGGTTCTAAGCCACAAACACATGACAACAATTTCCTTTTGTCTCTTACTGAACCTGCCCTGTGGCTAACCCAATGCCATGTGGCATCCAGATATCGCCATCCTTCCCGAGCGCTTGGTTTTCTTTTCTTTTCCTCTGTTTATGTCAAGGTTATTTGTGATAATACATTTAGTGCCTGGTTATCACATCGAAGCTTCCAAATGACTTACTAACCAAAAGTATTGACTGAAAATCTGCTAAGAAAACTCAAAGATTTTTAAAATGCAAGATCGAGGCAGAAGGACTACCCAACCTTACTGTATCCAGCTTTCTGCCTGGTGACTGCCAGCTCTTTGATGAGGGGATGGTTGGTTAATATTAGTATTAATATATTGGCTACATTGAACTGGAAAGGACATTTTTTCATCATTGCTTACTCTGAACCACCAAGGAAAAACTACCAGCAACTGAAGTATATGTGAGAAGAACGAAGCTAGTAGTCCTTCTTTCTCTGCCTTGGATGTCTAGAAGGACAAAGCCAGAGTGTGTGATTCATCTAGACCGGACCTTTGCATGTTGCAAACATAATCTCCTTTGAAAGATACCCTCTAGGACATTAGGTGGTCTGTTAAGGAGTTAAGGAGACAAACATTTTTTTTTCTTATTCCATGTCAGATCAGACTTTTAAAAATATCCAGATGAGTAACAACTGTCTAACATTTCTTTAAAAGTCTCATAGATCACCACTGTATGACATATTTTTTTTTTTTCTTCAAGAAATTAAGCTGTCAGAGAGGTCATAATGTGTATTTGTCAAGTGGTAGAGATGATAGTGCATACATCTCAGCTAAGACTGCAGGTAAGGTGAAAGATATGCGATCGGGAATCTGTTGGTAGTACGTTTCAGTTTCTACCACCCTCAGAAAAACCCAGAATCTTAACTGTGGATGTTTACCTACAACCATGTGTGTCATCTTAGAGGCATGGATTCCCATAAGTGGTTTTGCAATTTCATTTTTTTTTAATCTAAAGATGATGCATCTGCCATAGTCCATCTGCCTAGGATACATCTTCTGTTGTTGGGAATAGAAACGATATCTTAAAATGTTGGTGTTTTGTTTCTGAAAGTGCTGCAAACTCCAGCCCTCGGATGAAACCTAATATGATGACTGGCATGCAAAATGATCCAATCTGTATACTTATTTCAGTGCTTCTGGAAGATAGATCTGGATTCACAAATTTTACACCATGTTTGGGTTAGTGGACCCACAAAGTGAGAGCATTCTTGTGTTCTTCAATACTCTACTTATTTCTTGGCAATTCATTATAGGTCTTTTATCACAGTTTTCCCTTAAACATATCTCAGAGATATTGCCTTCCAACATACTTCCTGGTAATGCTAATCAATTTTTCTTTTACATTTTGGGGTTATTAAGACTATCTAACACTCAGTAAGGGCATTTTCATATGCTAAGGGCTTAAATAGAGTGATTTTCCTGTATTTATTTAATGAGACAGGCTGTTGATAATATTTTCGCTTTCCATATGGGAAATCCGGTGACATTTGCTGCTTTCCTATATAGCTTTCCCAAGCTTGCTGGAGCTAGTACAGAAGATATCAGCTCTGGACCTCTGTTCCCTCTAGCCCCAGAGCAGCAGTTCAGAACTGACAGCCGCTGCTTCTACACATTACCGTTTAATTTAACCAATGTGAGTCTCTTGGTGCAGGAAGAATGGTTTGCTGACAGTATATCATTTTTTCATTGTGCTTTGGAGAGTAATTATGGTTGTTATACACATTTGGAAGCATGTCTATGTGTTTCTTTTTTTAAAGAAGGAATTAAGACCATGGAAAATTATGTTTTTAAAATTCAAAATCAATTAAAAAATGTGACACTTAAGACCTATCTGAGGGCTCAGTACATTAAACATGTAAAATGTATTAAAATGTGGAAAACATATAGCTTTCATTACCTAATTCTACAGCTGTCATTTATTTCATTTTGGTATTAATGTAATTGTTGTTCTGAACATAACTGTATATATTTCCTTTACATTAAATTGGCACTTCAATTACAATCTACTTCAGCTCAGATTAATCGCACCAAGATGGCAATTCTATTACATGAAGAGTGAAATTTAATGACTTAATTTTATATGGCTATAATTTCAATGGCTAAAAGTGTGTTTAGTTGCTTTAGCTTTTTTTTTTTAAATTAAAATTAGGCATAATGAATCTTAATTGGAATGCAAGTGGAAAATATATATCATAAAATATGTATGATCATGGTCTATGAAATGTTTCTTCATAAGCATTTAGTTCCACTTTCAGGATTCATTGGAACAATATCGACTAATCAGAAAGAAGTATAATTATGGATGCAATACGTTTTTGTTCAGCCACAAGAATATAACTTTGTTATATTCTTTAACATTAGTCAGAATGCAGTATTACAGACAGATATGCCTTAGACCAGATGGCAAAATTTAAAGTATAGGGAGAGAGACTGTTTACATAAAGAAATACAGAGTTGGTTGGGAACATGTTTAACCATAGGATACACATGAGGAGCAAGCAGAGGCAGTGAACACAGCCCTTCCCTCTGTGTCAGACAGAACTCGTAGTAGAGTTAATGGCCTGACAGCCTACTCAGCAATACGATCTGTCAAACTAGATCTGGGCCAGAGACTAGGCTCTGGCCAGGGGGGGATCTAGATCCTGGCTGGAGAAGGAGGGAAAATGTCTTCATCTATTTGACCAAAGATTGCTTTGCGACCTTCAGTCACCATCTTTCCCCCCAAATTTGGCCACCTTTAGTTGGTTTTTCTTCAAAAAAAAATTTATTGTACTTTACTTTATGTTTATTGTAGTAAACAAATACTTTATGTTTAATTGAATTGTTCTCTTAAATCAAATCATGGTCTTTAATGCATGTACCATTTTGTATTTTTATTTTTAACTTCTGGAGAATGAAGTAGTTTGGTACAATTGCTTTGCAAGTGACCACCGATTACTGAGATTTGTTGATACTCCAGAACACAATTTTACTTCCTAGAAAAATCTTTTCAGATTTAGATTCAAGCAGAATAAGTTGGAGAAAATCATATTTGAATATCTTCATTTATATCTCTAGTAAAATTTACACTTTGGCTTGAATCTGAGAATTATGGGATACCCTGTGTGTTCTACCGAGAATTCTTGAAGATTACATCACATGCCCTGCCATATCCATGACGCATATGGACCCTAGCATCTACATTAAAGTGACCTAGAAAGGCTTCCAGCTGTGCAACAGCTTTTGCCATATATGGGATAGATCAGTAAAAGTGCATTTCCTTGTGTGAAAACTGTAACAGATGTCTGTCAGTGTCTCTAGTAGAATCAAGGTATAAGGACCTTCCAGCCATCTGCTCCTCTCTCTCTTCTGTGTTACTTTTCTGAAGTCTGGGGTAAATCTGTATCTATTGGTCCAGATTTCATGGTTTACAAAGAGAACTCAGATAGGACCATAAGTTACTGGGTAAAAGCTACAATCCTTCCAATGAAGAGGTAAAGCTATTATATGCCTTTTTACCTGTATATATATTTTATTTATGTCTTACTTTTTGTGAATTTCCATACTGCAAAGCTCAGGGATAAGGAAAGTGGAATGGTTCTCAGACTTTCATATTAAATCATTCTGTCTGTCTCCCCAGCCACCCACCCACCCACCCATCCACCTATCCACCCACCCATCCACCCATCCATCCATCCACCCACCCATCCACCCATCCACCTATCCATCCATCCATCCACCCATCCATCCATCCATCCATCCACCCACCCACCTATCCACCCATCCATCCATCCATCCATCCATCCATCCATCCATCCATCCATCCATCATTGTACTGAGGATTAAGCCCAGACCCTTGTAAACACTAGGAAAACAAGTGCTCTGCCACTGAGTTCCACCCGCAGCCCCTCTAATCTCTTTTCATATCATCAGCCTGAAGTTTCTCACCTTTGCCTACTTGACAAAGAAAAAGAATTTGGAGAAGAGGGAAAGCACCTCGTTTATATCTCCCTTTGTCAGGCAAAACTGAAAAGATACTTGGTTTCAGACAGGAAGAATGTGAGAAAATTCTAACTCTCATCTGAATGCAACTGAAGGTTGACCAGCATTTGGCAACAGATCCATCTCTGATTGGGAAGCCCAGAGGGCTCACACCTCCTTGGGCAGATAGTTGCACACAGCTTAGAATCCATGAAAGCCCCAGCAGTGAGACCCTGCTAATTCCCTCCAGGGCCTTCCCCATTCTGAACTTACGAAGGCTCTTCAGACACAGCAGCTCCTTCCTCTAGCTCCTGGGCTTGCTTGAACCATGGCAGCTTGGCTTCTACTGGAAGTTTCTCTGAGAATAAGTACAGCAAGAAGAGAAGAGATTAGAAACTACCTAGGGCTTAAGGCAGATCTTCATTCTCAGCAATTTCTAGCTTTGCTGCATAGGTAGAAGTCATGCTAATAATTGCAAATATTTAGTGTTGTGGCAAATGGTAGTCTCTGAGGAGAGCTGGAGCAAGAAGGCTTGCCAGTGGATTTGAAGAAGACTTCCTAACACTCATCTCTACACACGCTTCTCTTCTCTACACTGAGTTGCAAAGTCCTTTTGTATGAAAGTCCCTGTTCAAAGCACTGGCAATAACCATACAGAGAATCAACAAAGCTCCTTTGACACCTTTTAAAATAAACACAAAACAATTGATGATATTGTGGCATTTTTACAACTGTTTTGCCTTTTAGCTAAGTGTGACCTCATGTTGCATTATATTAAAATCAAATAAACCACCATGCTGAAATTTGTAAAACATTGTTGTTTTAAAGTTCTGACTTATTCAATATCACTCCCAAGGTTCAGTAACAATGGAAATATGTGCAACTGAAGGACCATAAACCGTGATGTGATGTGTTTTACCTATTCATCTAGCCTTGGGCAAATAACTCAGACAATCTTCTTAAGTGCTTCCTGGGGAAAATGTGGAGGAGAAAAAAAAAAAAAAAAAAAAAAAAAAAACCTCGGGAGGTTCTAACTTCTACAGAAGTAACTGCCAAGATTTTCATTTCTGATATATTTATTAAGGTCATTTATGGACATATTTGCCTTTATAGTATAAGCCAGTGAAGCTCTGTCACCATTTTATAGCATATAATTGCGAAGATGAAAGAAATATGTCCACATATGCATGCGCCATGGAGTCATGTGGTATTTTAACGATGCTTACAGAGTCAAGATCACTTTAGCTGTGAAAAATCCAGATTTTCTTCTTGAGAGTTAACCACAGGCTGACTTTTCTTCCCTCTAAAGCTGCTCGATAAAGATAGAGATAATAAAGAACTGGCTATTTTTAGTTGGGTTTTTACTACTTGTCTTCTATTGGCAGCTAGAAATATAGAAAGAAACGCACAGCTGCCGAAAGCCAAGGCGACTGGCTTATGGGTGTGGACCGCCTGCATATGCACCATTTTATAACTCCAGCATTCACTTTAGCCAAAGGACAGCCAGCGTAACTGAGGGTCCATCTTGGCACAACCACAGCCTTGCAATACTTCATTACTGACTTGAACCCATGAGTGCCTGTGGCCATCTCATGTGATATTTGAAGACACTAAAAAGTGTCTTCAATAATCCACTTAAAAGTGATGTCTGGAGAAAACCTAATATATGGCAGGGAGCAGACTAAAAATCCTATTGCATCATAGCTATTGTAACCTCATGATCTCCGATGCACATACTATAGTGTTTTCCACGTTTTACAGACTTAGACTTAAAAATTATTAGAGCAGCCTTACCAGGCCACAGAGAAAGACAATGCAGCCAGTCCTGATGAGACCTGATAAGCTAGGGTCAAATGGAAGGGGAGGAGGACCTCCCCTATCAGTGGACTAGTGGAGGGGCATGGGAGAAGAAGAGGGAGGGAGGGTGGGATTGGGAGGAGGTGAGGGAGAGGGCTACAGCTGGGATATAAAGTGAATAAACCGTAATTAATAAAAATAAATTAAAAATTAAAAAAGAAAAAAGAATAATCTTATGTCTTTTTGTTTTCCTTTTAGACTATTAAGAGCTCAAAATGCTACTCAATCCCAATAATAAGTATAATGCAGGACTACTTTATGGCTGATTTTCATGGAAATATAATGTCTCAAAGAAACAATACAAAGAAAGAAATGGGAACTATGCTTCTCATTACAAATTAGAAGAACATATCATAGAGAATCCTGAACATCTAAATGGTTTGTAATTTTGAGTTTTCATATACAGACCAACAACACTGACCAGAAAGCAGATCAAAATTCACACAGATCACGAAGACCCAGCATAATTATAATGACCCTTGCCTAAGTAGAGATTTTCTAGATTCTTTTAAAAATTTAAATAGTTTCTGACGTCTGTTAAATTCAGATATATACATATCACAGTTCTATTTCAAATTATACTTCTGGAATTCAGTCTCATATTATTATAGTTTTCAACATAGAAATAGTTTTCTGCTTCCTTAGTTTGATGTTTGTGACTTCCTAGCATATGTCAAGCTCAGTAAAGTAGAATATTTGGATTCTCTCCTTGTTTTTAAAAGTAAGAAATGTGAACAGTAAATTACACACATAATTGTAGATATATAACTATATATGTATAATCTGGGTTTCCTTTATGAAGATAAACCCAGTATTTTTCAGCACTGATATTCAAACAGCTTTATGATTTGGAAGACAAATACATACATAGACTTCTATATCTGCTACTTCATAAAGGATGTAATCAAGATCATTTGAACTAGTAATCATCATGTTAAGTGAAATTAGCCAGACTCAGAAAGACACAGTTTCTCTCATAATCAACACATACACACACGCACACACGCATACCACACGACACTGAAGCACACAGAGGGACAGACGGACACACACACACACAGAAGGAAAGAGAAAGACAAGACATACAGACATAGACACAGAGACACACACATGACACTGAGGCACAGAACAACTATTTCGGCAGAGAAAGTGGATCAGTGAGTGACAAGAGCAGAAGAGGGCTGTGGTGGGGTGAGTAAGTGCAAGTTATAATGATATATACACACATACATATATGCATCTATATGAATGAAAATGCCATAATGAAAACTATTATTTTACACAAAACTAAAAACATTGTAAAATAAAACAACAAAACATTTGAAAATGCAAAAAAAAAAAAAAAAAAAAAAAGAAAAGAATCAAGTCTATTTAAAGTAGCCTATGTTATACAGAATCATTGCTTAGAACATTTGGGATAGTTTAACCCAATCTGAGGAGATTAGAGTTGCCTGAGGATCCATTGTCGCCCAGGCAGGGTGAAGGGCTGCTGTGCAGTTACCTCTGGGTTTGTAGCAGGGTGTGGGTATGATGCATTCTTCTTTTATGTGGGGCTTTGTTTTCGCACTGCAGCCTCCTGTGTGCATTCCTCGGTGGTCAATGCAGAGAACCACACGGTATCTGAGTCCCTGGCCACAGGTCACCGTGCACTGGGAAGAGATGGCAAGAGAGAGAGAGAAAGAGAGAGAGAGGACTCATAGGCAAAGCCCGATTTACTTATTTGACTTTCCACCTAAAACTTACATAATATAATTCTTTAAAAAAAAATAACATACATGAATTCTTCTGGTGGATTTAAGCCACTTCTCATCAGTTATTAGATCTGGCTTCAGAGGTGAAGTTAGTTGAAAATTAACTCATTCCTTTAAAATTTTAGGATACGATTAATTAGTGATTAGTTGTACTGTGTGCTAAGACACACATACAGTACCATGCAGAAGACACAAAGCTATAGGTATGCTCAAGTTCGATTACCCATGTAACTTCATTTACTCACTTTGCACATATCTGTCCAAAATATGAGAACTACTTACTCCTGCAAGGATATTAGGAGGTGTTAAACTTCTACCATAAAACATTTATAATGCAGCGTAGAGAATGCAGCTAAAATGGGAATAATCGTTGGCACTCAGTGGGCAGATAGAGAGAGCATCTCTGAGAATTCTGCTAGCCCTGGGGCAGGTCTGATAGAGGAAATGCCCGGCTCTTGAATTTGTCATGACAGCCGCAGTGCAGAATGTTTTGTTATATCTGTTACTGTTTCTGTGGAAAGGACACAGGGGTTTACTTCCACATCTTTTTATCTCCTTCTCCATTTCCTTTTTACAATGTATGTGGGAAACCAAGAGTAACTGTGTGGTGTGTGTGTGTGTGTGTGTGTGTGTGTGTGTGTGTGTGTGTGTATGTGTGTGTGTGTGTGTGTGTGTTTGTGTACAGTGCTGGGGACTGAACCTGATCCTGGGGCCTCAGACATACTAGGCAAATCCTCTACTGTTGAGTCATATTACTGACCTTTTTTAATTTACTTTTTATTTTGATACAGAGTTCATCTCTGTAGTCCAAGCAGGCCTTGAACTCGTATCACTCTCTCAAGTCATTGGGATAACAGACCTGAGCTATACACCCAGCTAAGAATAATGCTTTGAGCTCAATTATAGCAATGATGAAAGCAAATGTAGGTAGCATTTTTTGGTAGCAATAATTCTACTTCATATCCATTCTTAACTATTGTGCTGTTCTCATTTAATCCTTTTTCTTCTCAGTGAAGATATACATAGTTACATTTTTTTTTTACTCTTCACAATCTTTTTACATAAGACACAGTATAATAAAAATGAAATTAACCAAGCCATCTTATAGAAGCAGCTCTCACAGATTAAGGGTCATTCAACACCAATAACTCTTGGAAGGGATTTGCTTCCCAATAGGGAAGAGAAGAAGCCAAGTTGGAGTAACTTGAAGAAAGTTTAACGAACATTTGGTCATGCTGGACTGGGACCTTCCTCCTCCAGGAACTAGGATGGCAGGTGTTGAGCCACCTAGAGTGGAGAAGGCTGATGCTGCACGGGGCACTCAGTGGAGCATGATGGCGACAGGTAAGAGTGGACTTACTCTCCTACTGAACAAAGAAAGAGGGCACAGTTACCGGAGACCACTCCTGTGCCAGCCATTTAGGACAGTCAAAAATGTTGCAGGGCTGAACGATGGGCATCTTAGGGGTGTACATGCATTTCCACTCTTCCACTGAAGTGACATGCCCCAGGATGTCCTCCTCCACACAGGAAACTGCCCGGCTCTGGGTGCCCCCCCCACACGAGGAGGAGCACGCGGTCCACGGGGTGGCCTCCCACCTACAGAAGCAAGGGGAGTCATCAGGGCAGACATGCAAATTGCCAAACCTCCTCAGTGACCTGTCACACCAACCCCACGCCCTGGGCCGGCCATTGGTTCTCCAGAGAACTGAAACTCTCTATTGGCTGAAATTTCATTAGGACGGAAAGCTTCAACCTTGGCAAGACTGTTTCATACATCTTGGATCTCTACAGAAATACAGGAGATTACAATCTGGGGAGCAAGCCACAGGATGCCTGGGCTGTCTGTAACCTATCAACAATGGAGGTTCCGTTTGCAGTCCTCTTTCTGTGGTTTCTCTGTACACAAATACTATGTGTATTTAACACACATATATACATACATGTATGTATGCTTACATATGTATTAAAGTTTAATTATTTTGTACTAAATCCCAGTATGTATTTTTGTAAAAACTAAAACTGAAATAAAGAACTAAGACTTTTGTCTAGATTTGGGTGGATATTTTTGTCTTTAATGTTTTACTTTCGCTTCTGGATTTTTTTTTTTTTTTTTAATAGGAAAAGCTCATACATGATCTCCCCACACAAAAGCTCTTTTTCTCTCCCTTCTGCAACTGTCAGCTCTGGGATTCCACACACTCAGCACAAGTTGTCTACTCGGCCTGTGCATCTGCAAGTTGAGGAACATAAGTGTCAATAACAAGTATTATTTTCTAGCTGGTGACAGACCCACAGACTTCCTTCAGTGAAGCACTCCTCGACTTGTAAACATGCTTGGTTTTGGTTGAAAGGCTTATGGCAACTGAATAGAGATATGCTGATAAATTAAGGCAGAAAATAACAAGATTTCCAATGATGCTTAAAAGAATTTAACCTTTCTTTCTTTCTTTCTTTCTTTCTTTCTTTCTTTCTTTCTTTCTTTCTTTCTTTCTTTCTTTCTTTCTTCTTTCTTTTCTATTTTTCAGTTTTGTAGCAATTGGGACCAGATCTTCACCTCCTAATTCCTTTCTCTCCCTCTGTAGATTTAGACACATAGAACTCCTGTTCACAGCATCATGGGACCCAGTGAGCTATCCTTGTTTCTTACATGTACTTTCAATAGTTAGGATTGCTATGGAGACTTCATGAGAATTCTAATTTTAATGGGAAAGCACCAAAATGACCCTGAGCAGACACACTTCAGTAGCTACATTTTTAAGTATCACATAGTTAATAACTGTAATAATTCTTTAAGTAAGTTTCACATATACTATGGACTTCATTTCTCTTCTGAAGGAGCCAGAATAGTAATGCACATTTCCCATGTTAGAGAAGTTTCTGTTCCATTTGGTCTGTGCTGTTTGGGCTTAGGCACAGGCCTTTGTCTCCACTGCCAATAGACAAGCTATGCTGCCAAATTCAGTACTTTCCCCCAGAAGACACATAAAAATGTTATTGTGGGGAAACTGAGGTTGTCTGACCCTTAGGAGATTGAATAAAAGTTATTTCAAGGGAATGGAGCGGTTCTGCAGAGTTCTCCTTGCAAAGGATGAGACAGTTCTATTCTCCTGTAAATCTCCCCATGACTTCCTGCTGGAGGTGGAGAACAGGCCTGGTTCAGATGGAAGATGGGCCGAACATATAAGTATATACTCAGGCTACATTTAATCTGACAGTGGAACAGCAATATTTTAATGGATATTTAATCACCTAGATGATTGCAGTTCTATAAGGGAAAACATTCTCTAGTTGATACTCTAAAATCTTAAAATTTCACCCCTTATGAAAGGGCGAATGATTAATTTCTGCTTAATGCTAGCCGTACCCATGCGGTTTCACAATGTATGGATATTTTAGTGTCATTATCATAACAAGATAGATGAGGATAATACCACTTTGCATAGCATGGCTCAAACTTACAAATCAGGTTGGTATGTGAAATAGTATGTGACTTCTCATGTAATAATAAAGAACATAGAGGATTTTAAAGCACAGCCTATTTAAGTATGTTAAAGTCTAACAAAAGGTGAGAGATGGCATTCTTTTGTCAAGAGATATTAAAACAGCGGACAGCGTGAACACTACAAATAAAAGAAAATATATCCAAGAATCTTGTCCTAGAAGAATATAAATGAATATAAATATAAATGTCATACATTTCAGCTTGCTTGAGTTTTAATCACCTTAAATCTAGACTAGGTTTAGTTTAAGAATTTTTCAAAATTAAAAAGAATGTAGAGAAAGAGATATGAGCTCACTGTCAATTAAGACAGTTCATCATGATGTATTGTTACACTGCGATTTAGGCTAAAGGAAGGGCAGAGGGCGGGAAATTACAACCTAAAGTGTATTAATTGTGTGTGTGTCTCTACTCGTGTGAACCCTGCTTAAATGTTTTAAAGAGGGAGGCTTTCTGCCTCAGTTATCAAGACTTTCTATTTGAAAACTACGTGAGCTTTACTTCTGTTAAATGATAAGCCATTTATAGGAATAGCTGCCACTTGCTAGAACTTTGTCAGTACAGCCTACTTCGTGTCTTTGGAACTACTGGGAAACAGAAGTGCAAGGGGCGAGAAATGTAGCCCGTTTGCCAATGGATCTGCCCTCTTCAGCTGAGATGCATAGACATATCAAATAACTACACAGGACACTGTGCACAAACCAGCGAGTGGAAAGTAGGCATTTGAGGCAGCACCAGAGTTTAGACCCTCGAGGGAAGTCTTACTCTATAGGAAGTCGAGACTACCATATGAAAAGCATTACTTACACCAGAAAAAAATAAAGAAGAAAAATCGTAGAATATGACAGGAATCTAAGGATTTCCTGATCGGAGAAACATAAACTCAGTGCTGTTCACACTGACACCCGGCTCTACGTTTGTTTTAAAGTAGATGGCTTTCCTCCATATGAACAGAGCAAATATCCTAGCATACTTACTACCCTACAGATGCAGAAATGGAACTCAAGGAAATCTTGGCTCAGTTATGTTTATCTTTAGATTTCTTTCAGTACATTATAGAGAAGACTTCTGGACAAAGATACCCAAGGAGCATTCTGAGGTCATTTATCGTTTTCTTTATCAGTACAGTTATAGCACTGTAGGAGCCAGCTGACTGGTCAGGTAGCCATTTTGCAACAATGGTATCTAGCGTCAGCCAATCTCCCTTTGAACATGGCAACTAGAGTGCTGACAAGACCGTCTCCTGCCAGTCACTGGGAATTTTTTGCTGGACACTGGACAACATTATATGCATTTATACACGTGTGAATACCTACATAGGACCCACTCATATCTGTGTGAACATGCGTGTTTATTTATCTAGGTTGCTGAGCTAGGACTGAGAGACTGAGGTCTCACTGTGGTGTAGGATTAGCATCTAATTAAATTAGAATAGATTAGGAATTCAGAGACTTTCAATTAAATTTGCTGAATGTTGCTGTTCAAAAACAGTTATTCGCTGGCATGTTTTAGTTTAGGATTTAGCAAACTACTGTAGATTATGTTAACTGCTCATGGTCTCATAGAAACCTGGGACTCTAAATAGCAGCTGACTCCCTGGGGGCCAAATTAGTAAAGAAAACAGCAGAGCTATTTAAAACTAATTCCAATTTCTGCTACCTGTGGAGCTACTTCCGATACAGCAAGCAATACAACTGGTAACTAGTGTGCTTCTCAGCAACCCCAGTTTTCTCACAAATATAAAGATTAAAAAACCATTTAAAAATATTTGAATACCTTTTCTCCTAGTCTTTAAAATATGCTTTAATGAAATAATACAGCAACTGATCTTTACATGTTGGGAAAAACAAGCAAACAAACAAACAAACAAACAAACAAAACTTACTCTGGAAAATGTTCTCAACAATAAGAATATGAAATTACCCGTAGGTGATTATAATTCTTCAGAAGTAAAGAAGGTGAACAAAGCCCCTGTAGGAATAATTCCATGTCTGAAATTTTATGCTGTGGTGTTGTGATCACACTTCGGGCAGTGTTTGTTTAAGTCAGCAATGGCTCTGCAGCGAGCAGGCTCCTACCCACAGGAGCCGGAGAGGGAGTGAAAAGGGAGTGAATGGAAGACATGGCAGAAACAGACGTACCGTAGCTAATTACGGTGGGTTACTGTGTCCACTCCAATAAAATGTGCTTCCATCAAAACGGTTTCTGAGCGACAAGCCTACACTATGGGTAGGCCAGGATTAGTCAAGAGGAGAGCTCAGGTTGGATTTGCAAAAATCTACCACCTACCATCTTATTTGTAGAAATAACAGAATCTACAGCTCTACGTTTTACATACATACACTAAAGCATCAGAAGACCGAACTGCTCATTCTAACATCAGGACGATTGATTTACGTACCGAGGAAGGGGATGGTAGAGGTCATAAGGCATGATCTGCTTGTATCCGTCACTGTTAGGAACAACAATGCCAACCCTCTGAGTAGAAGGCACACACAACAAGATAAACACTAAATGATTACATCATACACATTTCTTATACAATTGCAAAAAAACATTTATAAATCATCTCTGAAAACAGCACTGAAACAGTTCGATATTTATGCTAGTGTAGGCTGGAGACTGGGGAAAGCTCTTTGAAAACACTATTTTCTATAATTAGTCCTCTGATCCACGCAGGAAATACCACTGAAAAGGGAGATGGTGAGAAACCTTGGTACCGCATTATTAGCTATGGCACAACAAGCTTGTAAATGTTCTTTAATCCCCCAAATTATCCATCCTATGCGGTCATTATTATTATCATCATTATTAATGTTACTTCCAGATGCCCATGGAGCAATTACAGTTACTGTCTCACTGTTGATGAAAGAGAAAGCTCTGTGAGCAGGAGGTTATGGACTACAGAACTGACAAGACTACAACATGCATCAGCAAATAGGCTCCCACTTCTGGCAGATCTGAAGCTTCACTAACACCTGGAGAGCAGCCACTTGGATGTTTTATCAAGGGGAGGGAGGAACTACCAAATGTTATAGGCAACGGTTAGCAAGAGCAAACTCCTTACCAAAAGGAAGTAATGAAACTGTTCACAAATATGAAAGTGTTTTCGTCTATAAAATATTATACAGCGCTAATGGCTTTATCAGGCTGCTTCTGATTGTTGGGGCTGTCATTAATACCCTGGCAACCTGGTGGGGTTCAGAGACTGAGTGCTGCCACAAGACGGGCATTTTGTACTGTGTGGCTGAGGGATGAGCAAGAAAGGACGGCACGGGCTGTGTTGAAGGTCTTTAGGTATCCAGTGTACTAGGTTACCCAATTCTTTGATTTCAACTAGTATCTCTCATTGGTAACATGGTGTCATCCCCCCCCCCCCCCGTGGTGAAAAATGTCTTACTACTTGGCTGTCGAGATGCTAGGGCGGCAGAGGCTCCCATCATAAGGAGGATAGAAAGAGTGTGGAAGGGCACAAACAGAAGATGGTTTATTTTCATATGACAAGTGCTGGGGAACCCCTCTCTTGAACACTAAAGAGACCTGTATATTCTGCTTGTGTTCCTGGGATGCATGTGTGTGTATTTACATATCTACATAATAATTAAAATATGTTCAGTATGTTTACACTTACATCTAAGTGAACAGATTTCCACCTTGACTCTGTCATCTGACATGGGTTGGTATCATACTTTTAAAACTACAGCTACCAAATCTAAGCATTTCATTAGGAAAACTGGGCTGGACTTTTTTGCTGTGCATCAGACAGCAAAAAACATGGACTAAAAATTATGAAAAGAAACAAACAACAACAAAAAAGAGGACTGACTGTAAGGCCCTAAGAAACTGACTAAAATTGAAGGAGATGCATGAGAGAATCTAGGTGCATTTCAGAGAAAGTAGAAATGGTTGTAAAAGCAGATTTCCCGGGATGGAATGTTTATTCACTAATTTACTTTACAGAAGTAGGTTTTCTGTGTTTATTTATTTGACTGTTTTTTTTTTTTTTTTTACCCATTTCCTGATAAAAATGTTCATGGTATGCAAATGAGGGGGCACACCTGTGTATATTCTGTCACAGTGCTCATGAGAGAGATACTGCAATGGGCATGAACTGTGTGGGTCTTTAACACAACAATGAAATGATTATCATATTAAATTTTGTCCCAGCTTTTGGAGTTAAATATCCCCTTTTTTTTCCTACCTCCTGATAAAAGCTTAATCCTGGTTTTTGTTAGAAACACAAGATCTCTTTTAAATAATTTTTTTGTATGTAATAATCAAGAGAATTTTTCTTTTAAAATGATAGTATTTTAAAGAATGCTAGTATCTCAAAATTCTTTTAAAATTTTGGAATATATTGTTATTTAATAGAAGCAAATTAAGGTATAAATCAAATAGGCTGAAGTTAGGTTTTACCTAACTGGTTCATTTCTATATCAATTTCTAAATGCAGAAATGCATACCATTACCTTCTCCTTTGGAAAAATTTATGGCTGTAATTTGTCATCTTCAATATGAAAATGAGCTGTTGCAGGTCTCTGTCAACTGATTTATCTGCTGATGATATTTGAGATGGAGATAGTAATACTGAATAAGACAAGGTGAGCTGAAGAAAGGGGAGAAGTGGGGAGAGTACAGAGACGTCGGGATGTTACGCTTTGCTTTGGATTGATTTAGAAATCATGTTTGTATTTGAACAAGAATCTTTAAACCTATAGGTCTGTTTGTCTTTCTGTGGCATGGGTCATGTCGAAGACTCTGTGGCACCTGTGAAAACAGAACTATAGCAAAACAATGGTGCTCTGTCCAGCCCTCAAATGCATCTTCATGAGCCTGGGCTCTGCTCCCTCCTGTGGCTCTGGCCACAGCCCTGAACTTTGCCTGCACTGTGATGGAGGGGAAGGGAAGCTTGCCTAACATGCTCATTGCTTACCTTTAGGACACATTATTTTTTTTCCCTCAGTGTACATCATAAAGGATGGTGGAAAGAGACACTACTAAGGGACTTGATGAAACTCTTCCCAAGTTTAGGTCTAGATGTGAGTGTGTTTATGTACATACATTTAGACATATCTCTGAATACATGGACAGGAGGGAAGGAAGTGAACACAGTTTTAAAAATTATCACAAAGGGACACTGTAAGAGCAAGGCACTCATTCTCCACTGCTCCAATAACCTGACCCCTTGAATATTTTCACAGTGGCAGTGACACTACTCCGTTGTAAGGAGTGTTGAGAGCAGAAGCTGAAGATAAGAAAGAGAAAGACACTTTCCACCTAATTGACCCAAAGCACCCAGTTTACTCAACTGTCTGATGTTATGACAGATTCTTATAATGAAATATTACACAGAACAGAAATTTATAAAGCACTCTGAGCCACCTTTAATAATAAAGTACCTGATAAAATAAGTATAAAATAGAATATATCATTAAGCCCACAACATTAGAGAATTTATATATTGACGCTTCATCTATAACACAATTATCAGCTTGTGTATGTGTGTTCCCAGGTATATACACGTAAACATATAAGCACATACGTGTATATACATAAATGTATATGTATTCTCACACATATAGTAGGGAAATACCTAACAACCCTGGTTTGTTCCTATGGGTTGGATATTTTTCTTTGCAGTAAAAAACATCTTCCTGTTTTGCAAGTTCTAAAATAACATGTCTCCTACAACCTCAGCAATTAGAACACTGAAATACAGTAAAATTTAAATTAAAAAGTATAACATGGGAGCATTTGGAATTGAAAGAAACGAATTAAATGAGTTAAATTAAATAAATCACCTATAATTCTACATGCCACCTAAATATCAGTGAGGCTCTGTGCAGGAATGATCTAAGATGCACTTTGAACAATAGCCATGACCTTAAAAAGTCAAGCTAGAATCGGGGCCACACCACTCAGTTGTGGAATTCATGTATTGTGATAAATATTTCCTTACAAGAAAAACTCAAATGTAATTCATGCCACAGACACCTAACACACGTGGTTCTCTCTCTCTCTCTAAATACATATATGTGCGTATGTATTAAAAATGTATGTATAAGCATCATATTGCTTCATAACTGTGCAACCCAACTCACTTTGGGCATATTTGTGTCCCAGATTTTAGCTGGCTCCTCTTCACCTTTTCCATGGTACCAAACATTAAGCCTCAAAGACTGGGAAACTACAGTTTTTTTTTTTTCCCAAGAATGAAGTTATATGTGCTACAGTATTCTATGAGGTTCCATCTTCCTTAGATGATTTCCAGGCAGTATTAGAAACCACCCTCTTCCTAACTAGCACAGCAGAGACTAAAGAAATGTCAAAAGAAGCTCAAGAATTTTGATTTTCCTTGAGAGGCGGAGAGAGAGGATCAGGGTCTAATGAGGGGAGGACCACATGAGAAGCTTCCGAGTTGAATGTCAGTGTTCTCCTTGCTACATCCTTTCCATGTATATGACCTTGAGTACTGGACATCTGTATCTTTGTTTCCATCTTATGAAAAACCCAAGTGGTGGACAAGACATGAATTTTAAGATGAAGGGAGAATGGAAGGCAAGAAACTCAGGCTTGGAGAATTTGTATTACTTTTTCCTGCCTGGTGGCTGCTGAGTTGCAAGCTTGATAACCTTAAGATGATTGTCTCCAAATTCTTCCTGCTCTAACACCTGTCAACGTTCTAAATGATAGGTGCCCTTGACCGAGAGTCAGGTTGGAATCAACTGATAAAATATTTTATATAGCAGTCCTTATTTTTTTTGTGTGTGTGTGTAGCCTTTGCTGTCCTGGAGCTTGATTTGTAGACCAGGCTGGCCTCAAACTCACACAGATCCACCTGCCTCTTGTCTCCGTGAGTGTCAGGATTACAGGCATGCGCTATCGTGCCAGGTGGTCCTGATGTTTTTTTTTAACCACAGTAATGCCAAATTATGGTGTAATTTGTATCAATCAATGATACCTGGGTTGCAAGGGAACCAGGCTCAAGAACCCTGATTCACTGACATGATGTAAGAAAAATGTATCAGACAAAACCTCATTTCCTCCTATAAAACTAACTTCTGAAGAGTTTTAGCATCTTAGATTAAATGATAAAAACTTTCTGCAATTTAAATTTCTGGCATTTCTTTCTTGACATCAATAAATGCCATTTCTGTATTACTTTTAAATAAGTAGGACTGTTTTTTCCTTAGGATTTATTTTCCTCTTCTGTTGCATGTCCCAGAAAATGGCTCGAGTGAACACCAATACTTGAGACTCCATGGAAGATGCTTGCTTCATCTGGATTCTGCTCACTTTGTCGAACACGCAAACTTGCAGTGCAATGGTTCCACGTCACTTTGGAAGCAGACCTCCCTGGCTGCTGAAGGCAACACGCATGACTGGGTAACTGCGGGGGATTGGTAACGGTCTCAGGGCTGCGTTTCTGTAGAGTGAGAGATGCCGTGGAAC